AAGCACTGTCTGACGCGTCTGCCTCCGCGACCCGAAAGGAGAAGCGGCGATGGAAGATGAAGATGAACTGTCCATCCGCATAAAGAATTCAAGCATTTTATTCTAAAATTGCTATTCCACTAAAAGTAAGAACTCGTGACCTGAGTCAGGCATCGCAAAAAGCATTTGCAGTATTTCAGGTCAGGGAGGGAAAATTTATGAGCAGGTTATACAAGTGATGAGTCAATTAGTCAAAATCTATTTAATTAAAAATTAAAAAATCAAAATTAATCAAAGCACTTTGATCACAAACTTTTCAAAACAAAATTTGGTTCGGCGTAACGAGTGGCTGAAATTAAAGTCAACAATTCAATACAGCTTGAGTGCACAGCAACTATAATCAGAAAACACAGTAGCATGACAGCGATAAAACAAAGAAAACAGAGCATAAGGATTTACAGGCAGAAAATTAATATGTTCACCAGTGATATCTAAACGAACAGATTATTAGAAAGGGACCGTTCGAGCAGATTCAGCCTTTCGTATTCCTCAATCCGCAAAGCCGGGATCAACAGGACCACAGATGCTTCAGAGTTGCGTAGATGGAAACGCATATGGACCTCGTGGACTGAGACATCAAATGCATTTTGAAAGTGTTTGATGCAGGAGGTAAGGAAGACTCTGATGAAATAAAGTTAGCCAGATTCACAACAGGACATACAGTCTGACCTAGCATGACGTAAACGGTATTCACATGATACAGCTGAGTCACTGTGGTAACATTACAAAACCAATCGAAACCAATTGACCACAATGCAATTTACGCTCGGGGCAGAAATATACTGGTGAAGCATATGGAATTAAGGATTGAATATCGACTTTAAGAAACACCACCCAAATGTTCTCCACAGTTGTAAACAAATTAGGCGTTTCCAAAAATGCTGACCCTCGTACTTTAATGATTAGCTACATTACGGAAGCAGACGTGTAAATTTTCGGCGAGGGTCACTCCAAGGCAGACTATGGTGAGAACCTGTAACTATCTCTTAGCCCTGCAGAAAAATTGAGAGGTTGATGCAGCTGCTTGGTTTACTGCAAGAATACCTGCTAAACAAAACTAGGCATTCTTGGATTTTACTCTTTTAATAAGTAAAACATTTTTCCCTGTCCAGCCGTAAATAAGGGTGAATGCAAAAGAATAATTTTCGAAATTATCCTTTAAATAAAACGCGTAATATCAAACTGTCACCGACACATCTTATGCATTATTTTTTAAGTTTACTTAGCATACCATGGTATACAGCGTGAAAAGAATCCTAAATGAAAAAAACTTCGTATTCCTTTGAGCAAGACCTCATCTTTGTATTTTGAAAAAACGAACAAGCCGATGATACGCGTTATCAAATGCAGTGACATCACGTTCCCTCATTCACTGCAGAAACTACAGGGTAATGCAGCAGAAGTATACAAGGTTCTGAAGCTGCCTGCTAGTGACTTTCTACCTCATTGCACAGAACTCTGACTTGCTTTTAAATTGCACTGTTTATCGTTTAATAACAGATACAATGGTACATATATTTAAACGTACTTTTCAAATGTCAAGGCAACCTCCTTCTTACGCAAATCGAACAAAATCGCTCTGGCATCCTGAGAGCCGCTAAGCAAGTAGTGCGCTTCCGTCGGATGAAAGCATACCTTGTTAACGGTACGTGAATGAACGTTGTACGTTGATTCTAAAATATAGACAGTTAAGAGACATTGCCGAACACCGATCGTCTTCGCACCTGCTTTGTTCCGAGAGAGAATGTGCAAGTTCCACAATACTACCGAACCGTTCGTTGCAGCTGATGCAAGTAAATCCTCTAAAACAATTTTTTACAGCATTTTAAATACTACTATATCTGCTTGCAAGGTGAAGGATGTTTACTGTTTACTCAAAACTCGGTCGAAAAATACCGATTATCGATGCTTTGCCTTTCTCCAGATTCAATTGCCGAGTTAAAATTCTTGCATAAACTGTCTGACAATTCGACTAGAATGACTGGAGGAGAATGATGACAAACAACGTCAAAAGCCTGTCATTTAAATATTAATAATAGCTTTATTTTATTTGATATGGATAGACATCTGCGAATGTGTTTGTTCTATCTGTGTCGAAAAACAAATTCTTTAGGGATGACGTTGTTCAAGAAGTGTTCTTTAAATTCGTACTCAAATTATAGTATTTTGCATGCAAGAAACGGGGGAGCCGTTATGGCCATATTAGAAACGTCCTCAAAACAATGCTAATTAATGACTGTTGTCCTGTAGGTCGAACGAAAACTATTCCACATGTCCGGTAAGAAATTTGATTTTTATGTGTGGCAATCTCGTTTGGTGCATGTATTATAACACTGAAAACGAAACAGCTACTGCTTACTCAACGGATAGGTCGAACATTCCGGGGATGGTCAACAATGACCTGAAATAAGAGCCTTGACGGACTTGGTTGCAGACTCAGATTGTCCTCCGCCAAAGCTCACAGGCAGAAACTGGATCGGAAATTTTGGCGATACTGTTTGACGCTGTTGCCTTCGCAAAATGAATGGGTAAGCCTGCATCGAAGCTGACTGACTATGCAGCTATATTATTACCGAACATGAACCGTTAGACTTATATGAACTAAGGATGCCAAGCGCCGTAAAGCTCGGTTCTGAAAAACTATGCACATATGAATACTTTAAATTAGACAATCACATTTACATAACATATTTATAGCCAAATACAATCTTCAACAAATAGCATGTTTCACAATTCACGCCATTTCTAGCCATTTTATAAAAACGGTTTATAGTAAATACACAAATTGAGTACTTACGTATAAAGAAACTATAAACAACAGAGTACATACAGACAGACCCCAACGTACACACAGGATTTGCGTTCTGCAAGCCTTTACCTATGAAGAATTTAACGCTAGTCAGATACAATTTGGGCCACCCGTTAACCACACCTTATTGTTTACGTGTTTACAGTAAGAGAATAATGAAGTATATTAACATGCTTTAACTGTTATTTATGTTAGTATCAGTCAGAATGCACACAAATTAAATTTCATATCGTAGTTATTAATGCAAGGCAATATACCACAATATATCTTGTGTAAGATTATAGTAATAGCATGCGAAAACAGAACCTGAAATACATCTACATTGGCCGTTCGACCTTCCTTATCAATTTAACAAAATATAACTGAACAGTGGATTCTTTCTTCTTTTCATACATCACACGATAAGAGGCCTATAATAATGTATTAAAAACCGTGAGGAATCATCATAAATTTTTCGAATCGTGCTTAAAGCTCACGGAAGATGACTCTCTTCTATTTCATTATGAAACGTTCCATGAAACGAGCATCATTTTCAAAAGCTCTTGCTGGTTCCCTAATTTTCATTTCATAAATCATCTTAATGTAAGTCAACTGATTCTCATTCGAATATATTTATAAACTTCTCATTTTTGCTGTTCTGCAAACGTCTTCACCGTTGTTCATGTCGACTAATTTTTTTATACAAATCGAGTTCATACAATTTTTGGCAACCTCTTTCCATGTTCTTGCAATCTTTTGTATAGCTTGATAAATACTACAGGACTTCCAAACATATCCAACTGCTAAGTCAGGATCCATCGCCTTGCGGAAAAAAACGGCTATTCGGTGGCGCGTTAAGTAGGCTTTCCCAAACTTTAAGATTAGATTAAGTTTTCAAATGCCCTGTCAAGAAAATTCCATTAAATTTAAATTGTAGATAAATCGAATTTATATCAGTAAGAGATGTGCGTAGCTGCATGATTACATTTGTTTGACGGAAGTTAATTATATGTACAACGTCGGTTACAGGACTCGACATCGAAGCTGACCACAACATACAAAAAAATACGCCATTGATGCAGCACATTTTACAAACATTTTGAAACATAGCGCGAGAGTCTAAATCTTTTGTTGGACTTACGACATGAGAATTCCCGCAAAGACATTCATCAGTCTTTATCTATCCTCTAATGAATGAAAACCTTTCGAAACTCTGCCATTTTCATTAATCTTGATCCCGAAAATTTCTTCAGCTCCTCATGTCATCGATTAGGAGGTCTTCCAACGGGTTGTTTTCTGTTTCCTGGAATCTAATTTATTGTTTGTGTGGTCCAGGGATGATCTTTTCCTGTTGCAACATGTCCTGTTCATTGCCACTTTAACTTCTTCAGTAGGACCATGACATTGCAGGCTTTTGTTCGTGCTCTATTCCATTCTTTACTTTTCCCATATTTCCTTGTTAATCCCAATATATATCTTTCCATGCAGCGTAGTCTAAACTTAATGAATAGCTTTCAGGCATAGGATCCACGCTTCAAATTTACAGATTAGGGCTGGAAACAATTATTGATCCAGTAAGTTAAAAAAAATCTGCAAATTCAAAAACGCAAGAATGTAACATTAAAGACAAATCGCACTAATAATAATCAACGTAAATATCGTTCAACTGGTAGGCAACGACCGCTTTCCGATTAACAGTTTACTCCTAGTTTCAATAACTTTTATTATATGAGTATTACATTTATTATATTTCACTATAATGAGTTTTATTAGAGTAGTTTATTTGTTTCAGATAATTTTCGCTAGAGCATTCTCATCGTAAAGGATGGCCTGTATGTGCTTTCCGAACAAACTAAAAGTTAGGATCAAAGTATCTGACACAAAAAACGAAGTGCACAGCTCCATGAAATCAGATTTAGCATCCAGATGTTGACAGTCATTATAGGGAGCCGTCACCTCCAAAGTCATGTCTTTCATGTATCGTCGAACCAAAAACGCTATACAAAATTCATGCAAGTACTGAAGGTAACGAAATACGGTGGAGCAATACCGTCAGCTTTGGGTAGCGAGAAAAATCAGTGACGTTTTTTGTCGTGAAACCCAGTTTCGATGAGTATGTCACTTTTATAAACAGACTTATTACCAATTCGTATTTATTATATCAGCGTATTACATATTACGTAAAAATGTAAAGCAGAATACATTAAGAAAACGAACTTACCTTGCACATGACTCCAGGCGACATCCAAATTCGAAAAATGAAGCGTGGGAAGTTTCCCAACTTTGAGGTTGCATTCCTCTTTAAAGCCTTCTTCGAGACGGTAGATCTTCAGAACTAGAAAATAATGGTGTAGCCGAAACCAGACATAAAATTAACAAATAAGTTTTCGCCATGCTAATCATAATGTTCACTGAGCTGATGCAAGACAGTAAAATGTATTATGTTTCACTAAACTTTGCTGAAAGCGCGTTTAATGGTATGCAAGAATAAGCAAAAAGAGATGGAAGAGCAAAAAGAAGACAAAAAAGTAGAAAAGGAATGAAAAGAAGAAAAAAGAAGCTGAAGATGAACGAAAAACGAAAAGGAAGCAGTAAATGAGGGAAGGAAAACCAGAGAGAAAGCTACGAGAAAGGGTAGTAGAAAGCAAAAAATAAAGATAAGAAAGATGACAGAAAAGTCGAAAAAGAATGAGAAGAATAAGGCGATGAAGACGATGAATGTCGAAGTGAAGATGAAGAAAACCGAGAAGAGGAAGAAAAAAAGAACTAGTAAAGGAAAAAGAAAGAAGAAAATGAGATGAATAAGAAGAAAACAAAGAAAGTGGATAAGGAGGAAACGGAAAAGTCAAGTGAACTTAATGCGCATTGGTTTCAGACAGCACGGTTGCATTCACAGCAGCGTAGGGAAAAGCGAATACTAGTAACGATCAATGCAAGTCAGGACTCCATTAAGCAATAGACACCTGTATGTGATGAAAGAATCCAACTGCACTTTCACTCGTCAGTAACACAATTGCACTAATTCTCGGATAAGTAATGTCTCTGCATCTCAGCTGGGACTTTCAGAGACCGCAAAAGGCAAAAGTTTTCTGGAGCCGCGGGGAATAAACAATTAGTAAAACAGCATTGATATCTATTCTAGGGACAGCAACAACGGTAATTATTCTTCTTCATGAGGAAGTCGTCCAACTGGACGCTGGAGAAACGCCTCGGTTCGGCGGATCAAGCACAAAATGGGTCGAATTTTAAGGTTCTGTAGGTCCAGGCTGTGCCTTAGGGGCGAACATGCGGCTGATGCAACGATCTGCCGTCAATTAGGCGTACCTGATTTGTTAAAAATCCTTCGATTCAATTTGTGCCTCACTCCACTGAATTAGGGCACAATCGATGATCTAGTGGTCACAGGTTCCGCTTATGACTGACTCGGTGTGGTGAGGTCATCAGTCTCAAGTGCATCCTTGCATTCACGTCTCTGTAAATCCAATTTTCTGATGCGCGATGAGGACGACAGTTAGAGAATACGTGCACCTGGAAACACCTGCCAAGTGCTAGCAACGAATAATAAACCGCGTCAACGTGAAAGAGTAGTGAAACATCCGGCTAGAGAGACTGCGATCTGAACATGCAGGAAATAACGTAGTGAATAAGATGATACGGCAAAGAATCTTAGAAGGTATGTTCTTTGTCCACTAAGCTTTCTCCCGACACACGAAACAACGATGAATGAGGTAGCAGTGAGCAATCAAAAGCTGTCAGACCTCCCTATGTTCTTTAAACCAAGCCTACCTAAAACAGACATACTGTTCACGAGGACTCACTGACATTATCCATAATAATCCTTAAAGAAAAGAGTAGAAAACAACGTTTTGATTACGTGGCTACTCTGTGAACGAAAAAAACCGGCATTCGGGAAGATGAAAGTCTGTCGTCCAAAGAATGTTTTATGCACAGAAATAACACTCATCAGGCGCTTTGCGATACCTAGATAGCGAATCAGATTGACAACCTCCTGAGCGCAGGACGATATCTGTTATATTTGTAAATGCTTTACATAACCTATTCCAAATTTACTACCAGAGCAGCACAGCAAAGATGTTTCCAATAAAAATTTAAGGCCATGACCTTGTTTTTCTCGAGGACAATGACTGAATAAGGATAAGGGATTTCAGAGAAATGTCACTCATACAAAGATTCCTGTAAAGGGCAATAGGCAACAAAAAAGAATAAACAGAAGGAATAACATAAAAAGGAAGAGAATTGGAAGACAAATAATCAGAACAATCAGAACAAAAAGAAAGATAATAAGAACTCAAAACTTACTGTTTCGTCCGACGATCACAACATGGTCAGCTTCTTTGTTCGTGCTAAGGGCGTTAACTGGACCATCCAAGGGACAGATCATCAATGCATTTCTAAAGTAAAACACACACATGCGTGAAGAAAAACAAAGAAAAATATGTACGAACTGGCAGACATTCAAAATACCGAGTGTGATACTAAATCTGAGTTCAGTTAAAGAGATCGCCGAATCACGTACTGAGAAAAGAAGCTTAAATTTAACTATTTAATATTTTAAGTTTCGATTCCACCACAAGGAATTCGATGTCTATGATGGGAATCGAATCAATCGTGAATATTCCCGCTGCTTCTCTTGTCAGAGAATAAAACAGGGTAATAGAAAATTTATAGCTGTCGGCAGGCTTATATGCCATATTTCATTCATAAACTTAGCGGTGCAGTGCTGATCTCTGTATAAATAAATTAAAGATTATAGAATGACTGACTGACTGACTGACTGACTGACTGACTGACTGACTGACTGACTGACTGACTGACTGAC